CACAGCTCATAATTAACACTCACAGCAACGATCAGATTCATCAAGAAATGGCCCAAACCTTTTCTGTTTGCATTGAATAACACAAAAAAAACTGTCTTTTTGTTTGTTTGTTTGTTTATTGTTCATCCTCACCTGAGGACATTTTTCTATTAATTTTTAGATAGAATGGAAGGGAGGGAGAGGAAGAGAGAAACACATTGATGTGAGACACATTGATTGGTTGCCTCCTGCATGGCCCAACCCTGACTGGGGCTGGGGATCGAGCCTGCAGCCCAGGTATGTGTCCTTGACTGGGAATCAAACCCATGACATCGAACCCATGACCCTTCAGTCCTTGGGCCAAAGCTCTAACTGCTGAGCCACACTGGTCAGGGCAGGAAACGTTGTTTTTTGGTTTGTTTTTAAATTTTTTTCTTTATTGATGTTAGAGAGGAAGAGAGAGGAAGAGAGAGGGAGAGAGAGATGGAAACATCGATGAGAGAGAACATCAACTGACCGCCTCCTGCATGTCCCCCACTGGGGACTGGGCCCACAACCAGGACATGTGCCCTGACCGGGAATCAAACCAGTGACCTCTCAGTGCATGGGTTGATGCTCACCCACTGAGCTACATGGGCTGGGCGGGGAAACTGTTTTTTTAAAGAGAGATTTCTACCGAACTGAGGAAAAAAACTGGAGCTAAAATAATACAACTTTCTTCACAGAAAATCGACCAGCGTGAAGCAGCTCATCTCTGCTGAGATAATGAGGAGTTGCTGAAATCAGCATTATTGTTATTGTTGTTTATTAGCCCTGCCTCCCAGCATGCACTAGCCAGGCCCTTACCAGTAGGCTCAGCTCTGACCGCAGTGGGCAGGAGACTGACAGCCTTGGCCCAGGCAGCAGGGGAAGGGGGTATTTGGCCCTGATTCCCAAGTTGCCCTCTTTGGGGATGGGACTCTGCTCCACAGAATCCACGGGGTCCTGGCTCAAACTAAATGAACCATTCAGACGATCTCGATTGAGGAGCTGCCTCATCTTCCCAGTCATCCACCCCGACCCCGACCCCCACCCCCACCCCATACCCTCACTATGGGTTAAGTTTGCATTTTCTCCAGTAAGCTCAGGAGTGTGTGTTACTCTGGGAGAAAACATTTGCAACATACACACAGGGATGCCGAAGGGAGCCAGCTCCGGGCTGTGCGGCCTCTGAAACCTCAGGGGTTCCCTCTTCACATCAGCAAACTGCTTTTATTAGATTTGTTTCCCCTAAAGTACAAAACATTAAGCCTTCATCTAAAAGTTTTAGAAAATATTGCTATGGATAACACAGACAATGAAAGGGCACCCCTGCTCCCAATGCTCCAAGATAAACAGTTAGTATGAGGTGTATATTCTCTCAGTCTTTTCCAGGCAGGTGGATGGATACACAGACTTTTTAAATGGGATATTTTAAATATTTTACCATTTTTTTCACTTAACAGTATGTCATAAACAGTTTTCTCTCATTAAATATTCTCCTGCACCAGTGGTTTTCAAAGTATGGTCTGGGACCTCAGGGCTCCCCAGCCCTTTTTTCAGGGAGTCTTTTGGGTTAAAACTATTTTCATGAGAATACAGAGACTTATTTGCCTTTTCACTCTGTTCTCTCTGGAGTGGGGTTTCCAGAGGCCCATGATGTGTGATGTCACAAGAGGCTGAATGCAGAAGCAGCAATTGGAACGTCTATTAAACAGACTAATTTAAAGAGATTTTCAAACAGGTAAAACAACGCTATTTTTCTCACTAATTTGGTTTGTTTGCTTTGGAAAATACAGTCATTGTTTTTCATAAAGACGTGTTTTTTGGAGAACATGCCATGATTTCATTGTTGTTATTTTAAGTAAATTAACATACATATTTTTGAAATTCCTGTGCTTTTATTTTAAATGTGCTAAATATTGATAGATAGAGCCCACATAAGCAAAAGCTCTCTGGGGTCTGCAATAATGTTTACGCGAGTCAGGTGGTTCTGCGGCTCATCGTTTGAGACCGCGGCCCTATATGATCAGTTTTGATGGCTGCATGGTGTCCCTCTGTGGGGGTGCCCCCTGATTTGTTCACCCATTTTCTTATTTTTTTTTTTTTATCCTCATCCAAGAACATTTTTCCATTTTTTATTCAGATAGAGTGGGAGGGAGAGAGAGAGAGAAACATCGATGTGAAAGGGACACATCGAGTGGCTGCCACCCCCACGACCAACCAGGGCCGGGGACAAACTGCAACCAAGGTACATGCCCTTAGCGGGAACCGAACCCGGGTCTCTCCGGACCACAGGCCGACGCTCTAACCACTGAGCCAAACTGGCCAGCGCCACCCATTTCCTTATTGATGGACCTGCAGATTGTCTCCAATGTCCACTATTATAAAAGTGCGGCCCAGATCATCGAGCACTTGTGTCAAGTGAAAGCTTCATGAAATGAGAGAAAACAACAGGACCCAGCTGGCAGTGAGCCGTCACTCTCAGCCCATTACTTACCAAATCAGACAAAACGTGTCCGAGAATGTGGACAAATAAAATGGAAAGCTATGTGTACACTGACCACATATGTATGTGTACAGATACCTTGTGTATTTCTCTATAGAGAGAAATACTCTGTAAAGAGTAATTTCTTTTCCGCTGTCCATGAGATGTTCACAAAATCGGACCCTGTGCTAGCCCAGTGCTACTGACAGAATAAAACTCTGCTACAAATACAGAAATTGAGAGGGAGAGTTTAGAAACGTTTATGCAATTTGAGAGAGAAATTTTATTAGTTGGAAATAATAAAAAGATGTTTGTAGAAAAAAAATCAAATATTAAAAAATGCTACAAACTTTACAGGAGAATATTTCTGTAGGATGGATTCCTGCAGGCGGAATGGCTGGGCCAGGGGCGTGCGCCTTTAAATGTTGATACATGTTGCCAGGTTGCGTCCATTTACCTCTCGCCAGGTAATATTCCAAAAAGGTGTTTGAGCGCCTGCTGTCTCACAGCTTTGGCTATCCCAAAGATCATTTCTCTTTTAAATCTTTCCTATTTAGTAGGTTAAAGATATATTACGTCTTGTGAGAATTGCCTACTCTCATCCTCAGCCCATTTTCTATTAGGTTCTTTTGCCTATGATTTCTCCGGAAGCCTTTTATATCCTGGACATGCATCTTCTGTCTGTTACATATTTTAACTATTGTACTCAATTATGTGGTTTGCCTCTAATTCTGCTTACATGTCTCACTGTTGTACAGAAACTTTACCTTTAAAAAAATATTCTAATCCACTGATCGTTTCTTTTATGGCGTGGGGGTTCTTGCCTTGCCTTAGAGAGCCTTTCCTCATTGCATGATTGAAAAAATGCTCTCCAGCCCTGGCCGGTTTGCTCAGCGGTTAGAGCGCCGGCCTGCGGTCTAGAGAGACCCGGGTTCGGTTCCTGCTAAGGGCACGTACCTCGGTTGCAGTTTGTCCCAGGCTCTGGTTGGGTCATGCGGGAGGCAGCCACTCGATGTGTCCCTTTCACATCAATGTCTCTCTCTCTCTCTCTCTTCCTCTCTTTCCCTCCCACTCTATCTGAACAAAAAATGGAAAAATGTTCTCGGCTGAGGATAAAAAAAAAAAATGCTCTCCATTTTCCTCCAATATACTTGCAGCTCTTCTTTCTCTTTATACGTGCAATCCATCTGGAAATAACTTCGGTTGTGATGGGAGCACTCCCGGGGGGCTTGAGCCCCAGCAGGAGCACTGCCGGGGCCTGCAGGCAGGAGCTGAGCTAGTCCTGAGGTGCACAGGCATCTGAGCCCATCGGGTTCGAGAGGGAAGGCAAGCTACATTTCCGTGTGTTACAGCCGCCGAGGGCAGCTGCACAGTTGAGGAGCGGAGCTGACTATTCTCCCAAGGAAGCAGCAAAACATCTTAAACATGTTGTGTGGTTCTCAAGGAGTTTTCCTGACCCTTATCTCACTCAATGCCAACATCTTAGACGTAGGTGGAGGAGAATTTAGGATCCCCATTGTACCATTACAGAAAGATAAAGTGCAAAGAGATCAAGTGACATGCCCGAGGTCAGTCATATGGTGGGCAAGTGGCAGAGCCCAACTAGAACCCAGGCCTCCTGCTGCCAAGTCCACCGGTCCTCGGACCTCGGACCTCGGACCTGGCCCAAGTGTCTCCCGATCTGTGTTCCCCCTCCAAGGGTAGGAAGGGCTGGAAAAAGCCATTCTCCATCACCAGCTGACGGTGGATTTCAAGAACCTCGTCTCCCTCCTCCTGCACCTCCTCCTCCCCTGAGCGGTTTGGCGAGGGTGGGAGTGGCGATGAGTCAGGCTGGGAAGGGAGAGCTCAGCCATAAACAAGCGGGACTGGCAGCAAGCACTTTTCCTGAGGCATGTGACCTCCCGCGGGCCTCTGGGGACTCTGCCTGCACAGCAGAGCTTCAAAATTTCATGATCTGGGCTCTGCAGATTTAATTTGCTATATTCACAAAGGTGACCACAGAGGGCACAGCCAGCAGACAGGTGAGGGAGGAGGGAGGACGTAAATGATTGCCAGTCTCTCAGTGGAGAGCTCAAAATGTTTTTTTTGTTTGTTTGTTTTAAATAAGTGTGCCATTTTTGCAGATGTCCAATGTACCTATGGCTGGGTCTTCCTCCCTTTTAGCTCCAAACCAAAAGAACACCCAGGACACAGAATGGTAGAGCTAGACCTGGTCTTGGAGATCAGATGGTCTAATCCTTCAGGTTAATGAGAACCCCAGGTACCCCAAGGAAAGTGACTTGTCCAAGTGCACACCTTTTGGGAAGTTCTGGAAACAGATCTCATGTCTCCTGGACCCCAGCCTGTACTTGTTCTGGTGAATCTCAAGAAAACCTTGGGAAGGCACAGACACTGGACACGCGGTGAGGAAGTAGAAGGTGGTGAGGGGTGCAGACAGAAACTGCCCAATAGTGACCGAGGGGAGCTTCTCTCTGCCTGGGGCTGCAGGGATCCTAGGGAGGTGCCGGGCACCTACCTGTTCCAGGGGAATGACTAGGAAGGACCCTCCTCCTGAGCTCTCGGTGACGATGGCCAGGAAGCGGGCGTTGACGGCACAAAAGTGGTTGTCGTGCACGTTCTTGGTGATGGGGATCCCATCAAAGCAGTGCTCCCGGTTGGCCACCTTCCCATACACGTTCCGGAACTTGGAGCTTCGGTATTGCGGACGCCAGGACATCTGTGAGGGGCCAGGAGAGACAAGGGTCAGGCTGGTCACTGCTTCTGAAGCCCCCCAGCTAGACACTGGGGAAGGGAAGCTGCTCCCCAGGGATGCAGGCGGTGGGCCAGCCTGGTGCTGCCCTCAGGACTCAGGGAGAGGGGAAGGAACCTCCAAGGACTGTGTGCCAGGCCCTGTGCTAGAGGACTTGCTCTTCCAATAAAGTCCTCCAGGAGCGAAGACTGGCATGAGGGTATTCACACCTTTCCTGCTTTCAGCACACACGTCCATCCCACCTGCCAGAGAGGATGGAGGGTCCTTCCGCTTCCAAGGGACGTGCCATGTGACAGAGCAGAGCGTCTACCCCACAATCCACATGGCTGCCTCCTGCGTGCAGAAACTGCTCAGTTCGGCACAGGAGGTGCAGGCAGAGGAGACTGGGTGTTCACAGAGAACGCTGCTGATGGCAAGGGGCGGGGCATGTCCCCCTCTATCTGCACGGAAGCAACCACCCACCCACATCATCCCCTCCTCCGACTCCCTCGGGCTTCTAACCTGCAAGTGCACCCCCAGAAACTGTTTAGTCCCAAATGTCATCATCATTGTCACCACCAGGTTCAGAGAGATGAAGTGACCTGTCCAAGGTTACACAGATAATGAGTTGGACCATGAACACAGCTCTCCTGGCTGGAAATCTGAGACTCTTTCCCACGCCAGACTACCTTTTGGAGAAAGTCTTCTCAATGTGTGGTCCCCGGATCACCTATATCAAATCCATCTGGTGTGTGGGATGTTTCTGAGCCTCCCTCCCACATCATTCGTTAGAAATGCTGAATCCTGGGTCCCAGTCCAGACCTACTGAATTCAATATTTGGAGAATGAAGTCCAGAAATCACCATTTTAATAAGCTCCCTTCCCCCACAGTGAGACTGAAGTTTAAGAGCCCTTGTTCTAGAGAGTGGAGTAGTACCACACCTTACCCCTCTCTGCCCACCACCCACAACACAGGCTTCAAGCAGCCAACCAGCCAACCAACCAACCAGCCAACCAACCAACCAGCCAACCAACCAATCCATCCCTACTGCATGCCTGTCCCGTGACGTGCACAAGTGGTTGGATGAGGACTGGATGGGCAGCCCTACAAATGGACCCATCACAGGTAGAGCCCTGGCAGATACACGTCGAAATGCGAGGAGTCACAGGCGAGCACCCAGCCCCAGGACCTGATGTGCAGCAGGAGCTCAATAGGTGCTTTGTTAAATGAACATGCTTCTGGCTTGACTCTGCCGTTCTCCATCCCCTCCCCTTCCTGCCAAATCTGATGGGCCTTGAGTCTGCACCCCATGTCAGGACAGAAAGGGGCAGGCTCACTTCTTCACATGAAGTTTCCATGGGGAGGAAAACAAAAGGAAACACAGACACAGAACCAGGAAACCAACTATGGGAATTTGACTGAAAACAAAACTTTGCATTTGATTTAAATAAAGCCAGGAGCCCGGCCACAAAGGCTTCTTTATTAGAGGAAGATGTTCAGAGCCAACAAGGAGACTCACAGGGAAGGCTCCTCACCTTTTCTCCATCCCGCATGGCCAGTCTCCCTGCTCTCTACTCCTCCCAACCTCCCCCCTTTTGCCCAAGTTGCAGCCCATTGCTGCCTGTGTTCTCTGCTCTGTGCAGAGTTCAGCCCAAGACCATTCAGGACCAAGTCCTGCCGGGAGGCAAGCTGCTTGGTCACTCCTGGCTGTGAGCTCGGGCAAGCCCCACCCACTCGCATGTAGCTGACTCATCAGGATTACATCAGCACTTCCCAGCGTGTAGTCTCAGGTGGTCACTTACAGTTCCTGCACGCGGCACAAAGATGAAGTTTTTAATTGTAGTCGTTATGTGTTTAATTTGCATTAAAAATATAACTTGCATGCCAAATCCATGACTTCACAGATACTATTGCTATCAAGGCTAAGTTAAAAAAATAATGAATCAATCCAAAGAAAAAATAAGAAGAAAATGATAGGATAGGTGGTACATGGACCTCGCTAAAATCCCACCTGCTATGGAAGTGCTGGAAATCGCTGTCTCTTCCAGGGGGAACGTGCTGGATCCCAGAGCTCCCGCGCAAGGAAAGGAGTCGGCTCGCTTGCTCGCTCCTACCTCCTGGTCCTTGCTGGAGCAGTGCCGACCCAGAATGCCTCGGCCCCTCTTCTCCACCCAACCCAACCTTAGCCTGCCCGACACACCCTGATTCCCACAGCGACCCCCTCGGGACCCTCGGTCAACAAGCCCCTCTCCCTCAGCTCCTGGGCTGCCCCTGTCACAGGCTCTCTTGTTCCGAGGCCAGACTCAGCTCTGTGGTGGCAGGCAGTGACACCGGGGCTTCTGAGCAGGACTAAGGCTATTCTGTGCTTTTCCTGGGCAGCCCAGGTGAGTCCTGGTTGCCGTGCTGAAACCTGCTGGGCACCTGGTCCCATGACAGGCTGCGCCCTCCTTGAAGGGAACTGAACCTGGTGGGTACAGTTCGGCCTCCACCTGAAGGCAAGGCTCAGGGGGCCACTTCGTAGCCCACGTCTGGAGGGCAGGACCGCAAGTTCCTTCTCCGCCCCCAGCGCCGCCGGTGGCCGGGCACCTGGGATGGGCCGGAGGAGGCCTGTTCAGAATCGGCGGCTCCGAGCCTTCCCAGAGCTGACGTCACTGCAGGCTCTCCTGGGCGGCGTGGGAGGACGCAAACAGAACCAGGCTGACAGATCTAGATGCAAGCGCCGCCTCTGCTGCCGCCTAGCTGTGTGACTTGGGCAAGCCACTTAACCTCTCTGTGCCACCTCCTGCTACGACGAAGGAGGCTGGTGATCCCACTGCCTCCAAGTGTGTGGAAGAGTCAGTGCCAAGTTTCCGTGATGTGCACTGCCCGGGCCTGGCACCTCTCTGATGCTCAATAGGGCAGAATATGAGGCAGGAGAGGAGGGCTGGGCACTGTGTCGGACACCCCTGCACACACACCCTGTCCATTCCAAACACTCCAGAGCCCTGCAGGCTGAGGGCGGGGACTGGGCCCAGGCTCTCAGGGCCCCCAGCCTGCATCCACCACAGCTGGGGGATGCACATGGGTCTCCGAGGAAATGTGCTGTCCCAGAGCCCCGGGGACATGCAGACCTGCCGACCCTCGGGCTGGCCAGAACCCTCCACACCACATGGAAATTTCCCCGGGGGGCAGCTTGCAGTTGCCAGCCATCTCTGGGTCTGTTCTCCTCTCTGACTTCAATTCCTCCTCCTCCACCTCTCCTCTACCCTTCTCCTTCTCTTTTCCCTGTTCTCTCCACGTTGTCCCCTTCCCTGCCCTTTCTTCCATCTCTGCCATCTCCCTAGTCCCCCACTCCTGTGGACACAGCACAGAGGCATTTGCGGCCAGGCTCCTAGTGGGCACTCTTGCATTCTCCCTGAGCACATTTCACGGTGCCCCTCACAGCCCAGCTAGCACTGCTGAGCTAGATGTAACATAGGTGCAAGGTCCCGTTCCAGATAAACTATCACTGCGTCCCGGGGGGTCAGAGCCCGCAGGCTGGGGGTCTGCACTCAGCTGGCATGTTCTTTCAGGGGGTATGTCTCCTGGGGTAGCCTCCACCCTCCCTGCGGATTCCAGAACGATGCAGGCTTGCTTCCTGGGGAAAATGGAGTGTCTTTCCGAGGGCTTTGTTCTCAGCAAGCCTGGTGCTGACTCTCCCCTTGGCTGGTAGACTGGGGCTGGATCTCCACAGAGATTCTCCGTGCTGGGTCTTTGGAAGGGCTGAGGGAGAGGCCGGGCCCTTGCTTATCAATGGTTCTTCCTCGCTGAGCCTGCAGCCTCACCCCACAGGAACCCACAGATGTGTGCATGGCCGAGCCCTGAGGGACTCTGCAGCCTGCGTTTCTACTTTCCACAGCACTCCTAACCTTGGGGGAGACACTTTGCTTCTCGGAGAATCAGGTGCTCCATTTCTAGAATGAGACCCGTAATGTCTAACTCTGTGTGGTTGTTTGAAGAATCAAAATGAGATAACATAGGTGCAAGGTCCCGTTCCAGATAAACTATCACTGCTGTCCCATGCGCCCTTTCTATTGAGAGGTGCCCCAGACACTGACCCTGCTTTAAAATACATTACAAGCCAGTAGAGGAGATAAAACCGATGCAAATCCAACAGACTTCGGTGGCAAACAGACTGGAGGGACTGTGATTGCTACAGGTCAGGGAAGGCAGGAGGGACGGGGCGGGCTTGGCGGAGGAGGGGTTCACCCACCTGCCTGCGAGCGCAGACACCGCCCCACATTGGTTGGTCTCCGAATCTGCCATCAGGAAACCACAGGGTGCTCAAGGGGTAGGAAACAGACTCAGCCAAGTTTAGGCAACAAGCGCAGGGTGGCTTTGAACCTCTTCTTTCTGACTCTGCAGCCCACGTTGTTTTCTTCCACTTTTTATTATGAAATATTTTAATATACAAAATTAGTTGAGAGAATGGTACAATTATTATCTAGGCGAATTATTGTTTTTCCATCCTTCTTTGTGTGTGTGTGTGTGTATGTGTGTGTGTGTGTGTATTTTCTTTTTTTTTCCTTTGTGAAATCATTTGAAAGGAGGTTGCAAACATGCCGCCCGCCCCACGACTGCGTGGCATCGTGTCCTGCGAAGGAGGACACGGTCCTAATTAGCACATCACGTCTGTCACATCTAGAGGCCATCTTATACCCAGCCCATATCCAGAATTCTCCAGAACGCCTCTTACAGCAATTCCAGAGTTTGAGCCCGAGTGGGGGCCACGCTGCTCCCGTGTGCTTCGTGTGGTTGTGATCTCTCTTTTGCCTCCTTTAAATCTAGAACACTCTCATCATGCTTAAAAAATATATTTTTTTCAAGTGACATTGACTTTGTAAAGACACCAAGTCAGTTATCTTATAAAATGTTCCAGCAATTTGTCTCTGTTGCTTAGTGGCATCTTCAAAATCAGTCCTGTATTCTCTAGAAACTTCAGGAGTTAGAGCCTTGATCCAACACAAGC